CTTGGTGTAAGTCCATTGGTGCCCTCAAAAAACTGCTGGTTCTAAAACTTTGAGAACAACCACGCTTAAGTAGGACACCACGCTCACGTGGGATAAGTGTGTGTTTAGTTTTATAGTCTCTGTATTCTATCTCTTTCTTTAAATCAACATTATTTAGAAAAGGAAGGTGATGTTGATGGGCTGGCAGCAGAATTCTACAATTCCTGTTACCGCATTCTCAGCAAACTAGTGGGAAACCAGGAGGAAGCCCCTCCTCAGTAGGAAATTATGGTTCCAGCCTCATTTCACTCTTTGCCTTGTCAGTTTCACCCCAGAATGGAACACTGGAGTTGTTTTTCCCCTTTTCTGTGAGGAGAAGGGCTTGGGTAGATGCCTTTAGAGTCAGCCTGTGAAATGATTATTTCTCCCTTTACTCCATAGTACATAATCAGTCACTTAGAACAGATTTACAGTACATTCAGTTGGCCCAGTGACTTACAATATCTATATGATTCTGTATTTTTTATTTCATTCCTGAAGTTGGGGAGTTATGTGTAGTTAAAACTCATGATAGTTTCTGTTGTTTGCTATGACATATGTGGCATACGGACATTCCTTTTCCAATGTTCCCTGCCCCCCTTTATATTTTGTTCTTATCTCTTTATTGCAGAAATTTTGGATGGTTAAGGATCATGCAAACAGTACAATATTTGGGTTTGAGCCTCACAACATGTATTAGTAATGTAAAAAAAGAGAAAAGTAAAATTGTATGAGTAGATACCTTTTTGCAGATGGGCCAAATAAAGTACCAAATGAATGAGCTAAATATAGCCAGTGGCAGAGGGATTAAGGTCAGGAATGAAGACCCTGATTAAGAAGGGGCTTGATAACGCCTTCTAATGTTTTCAGATTAGGGGGCCTGCTCAGTTACCACTTTAAGCTTCTACTTCCGATGCTCCCTAAAATTACAGGAATGACTCTGCGTAAAGCTTATACAAACTTTGGGCCTATAATATTACTCTTAAGAAAAAAAAAAAGATGAGGCAAAAAGAAACTGTGAAAAGTGTTTAGCATTGAGCAAGAGAGGGAGCTCACAAACTCTTTGATGGTCAATTAGCCAGAAAATGTGCTAAAGACTGGGTGCTGTGCTGGATTATGGGCCCAGGAATTACCCCCAAGGTCCTCAGAGTGGTCCTGCCGTTTGAGCACAGAGACAATTACAGACCTCTAGGAGATGCTACAAAGGCTTTAATTAAGGGACTTACTAACACCCCACTAAGTTTTGGAAATTGAATTCTTATTTGTGCTTACCTGATGTTTCTTTTGTCCAGACTTTTATGTAGATTTCAACAGAGAACACTATTTCCCCCACATCTGTTTTATGTTGGAAGCCATTTACTGTGATAGATAGGAGCAAAGCTGAGAGTTTAACCAGTGTGAGGAAGCAGGTAGAAAAGTGGACTAGGAGGCTTTTTGCGGGGGAACGTTTGGGCCCAGATTGAAAATTGTAGTACTCCGCATCTTGAAACACCAGTAATCTAGGAACTCTGCTGTTAAATACATGAAAAAAAAGAAAACTAATGTCCTTTATAGAATTTGAATTTTAGAATTCCCATTTCACAAACCAATGTGGTTTTCTTTGAATTGGCAACTTTACGTTTCTAGACATAGCACACTGCCCTTTCTATACAAGTATGTTTTTGTTTGTGGATGCTATAAGGTTAGCCTTTGGCTATCACCCAGGTCTGATTTTTCACAAGCGTAGATCCACATTTTGTTCCATTCAGATGTGACTGTTTTTATTTCTGGAAATACCTTGTTTTAAGATGCATTAGTCCTAGCTAGAGCACTGTGATCACATTGATCTGTCGGAGTTACTGCGCTCAGCCACCCCCTTTCTCCCAACAGTGGAGATGCTCTCACCTTTGAACTCTAGAGCCTAATTACTGCCCAAGTCGGCTGTGTCACCCTTGTTTTGTTAGTGAGGTAGTTATTCTCTCTTCTGTCCTTTGAAGTGATTCACTTCTGCCTGCAAAATTTGGTTTGAACCTTAAAGGTTTTCAAAAGCACTAAGAAATGCTTGTGTTTTAGTAACATTATATTTTTCTTCAGTATTTCTAGTTTACATATAGTATCTGTCAAGTGACACATTTTTTAAGGTTCTCTCTGTTGTACTGATGGGCAGCTTGAAGGACCTTTTGTGTGTGTACCTCTCAATTTGTGTATGAGGAGGACAGAACCTCAGCCTTGCTGAACAGAGGAGTGGATAAGAAAATCACAGGAAGCGTTTAACTTGTGAGGACAATTTGAACTTGCCATTTTTTTCACTTTTCACAAGGTCAGATATAAAGTGCATGACTGGGCTTCACCTTTACGTGTGGGTTGGTAGGGAAGGATGATTAGTATCGGATGATAGGGCAGCAGGCTTCGTTTTTACCTGAGGGTTGGTAGGGGAAGGTTGTTAATATTGGATGTTAGGGCAGCAGGCTTTATTTTTACATGTGAATTGGTAGGGGAGGCTGGTTAGTATTGGATGATAGGGCAGCAGGTCCCTGTATGTGCTGCCAGCTCCATTGGGCCGCGAGGCCTTCTGACCCCGGAGCAGTTTGAGATGCTGCACTGGCTTACACGGTCTTTGTGCCCAGGTGAGAGCTTTTGATATGTACATTATATAGAATACTCATATACTTGGGTATGTTTTAAGTAAAGCATAATGTGAATTTTCGTTCTTTTTGCATTCCTTTGGAAAGAGAGAAAATTATATTTAGCGACACAAATATTTTTGTCCGGTTAATGAGCTAAAGCAAAGTTTGATCCAAACTTCCGGAGAGAGGTAGAACTGGCAACTGAAGAAGAATATACTGTAACTGAATTTTGCTAAAAAGTGCTGATTCAAAAAGTTGTTGTAGGAAGTAAAAACTCTAAGCTCTTATCTCTTAGGCTTTATTTTGCTCACATTGTCAGAGCTAGCGCATCTGGCTTAGATTCTAAAATAGTTTGGTTTTATGCCTTAGTAAAAATGAATCCAATCAAATTGGAATTGAAGATAGATGAAAGGGTGAATTTTGGTACAATGAGGATTCTTAAGCGCAGCGAAGTTATCAGGGAAGATCTTGAACATTTTCTTTGTGAGTGTCCTTTAAAAATAGGCTGGTGTCAAACCTCAGCATCACACAATATACCCAGGTAACAAACTTGAACACGCACCCCCTGAATCTATTAATAAAAGTTGGAAGAAAGCACAGCAGGCTGGTGTCTTTTTTCAGATAGTATGGCTGCATTCAAGTCTAGCTCTATAAAGGGGTGCCGGGTGCTGGGATAAATAGTTCCCAGCAGTCCTTCCAGTTCTGGATTATATTGCTTACCATCAACACCTTGTATATAATCTTCACTTATGTGTCATTTGAAGATATTTGTTCTGGGGAGTCAAGGGGAGGGGAGTTTTGTCTTTTAAGTTAGATTTTCATTTTGATAGGATTAAAATGCGTCATCTTTATCAGATTTGGTAATATCCATATCAAACTAAGGCTCTGTATTATTAGTTGGGTTTGGTTTCTTCATTGTTTTATTTGGTTCCCCTCCCTGTCCCTCACCTCAAGTGTGGATTAGTGCACAGAGCTAGATAGTTAAACGCATTCACTGAAATTCTTGCTTTAAAAGGCATGGAGGCAGAATTGCTGAGTTTGGAGAGATGTGAAAAAGA